GACTCCGCACGCACACACACATTAAAAAAAAATATATATATATATATTTTTTTTAAAGTTGCCTCAACAAAAGGGCACCTTGGGCACCCATCAGGAAAGGGGCGGGTGCTCAAGCCCCTTTAGCCACCCCCTCTGCACGTGCCTGCTGCCAGGTGACACTTGTTACATATTAAAATTAATAATTTGCAATAAATAAGACTTTAAGCAACGACTGAGACCATAAACACTTTAGGAGAGTGTTTACTGAGATCTCAGATGAAAAAACTCAAAAAGGGGCAGCTTCTTATCGATCTTATTGATCTAAAGTGGAATTACTCTGTGGAGACTGAAATTTTCATTTTTAGAGCATTCTGAAATCCTTAAAAGAGTAGGTCGTATCTTGGCATTTTGAAAAGGCTTTTATTTTGGAAGGCAAAATCAGAATGCTTTGAAATTAACTTGGCAACATCGTGAGGTTGGATACTGTTGATCTAAAGTGGAATTACCCTCTGGAAACAGCAATTTTCATTTTTAGAGCATTCTGAAACCACTGAAAGTTAGGTCTTAAATGGGCAAATTCAACAGGCCATTAGTTTGGAAGGTAAAATCAGAAAGACTTGAAATTGATATGGTAAAATTGCGAGGTTGTATACTCTTGATCTAAGGTGAAATTATCCCGTGGAAACAGGATTTTTTCTATTTAGAGCATTTCGAAATCATTACAAAAGTAAGTCATATATGGGCAATTTCAATGGGCCATTACGTTGGAAAGTAAAATCAGACTGACTTGATATTGACATGGTATCACTCTGGGGCTTTATACTGTAAATACAAAGTGAAATTACCCTGTGGAAACAAGATTTTTTCTTTTTAGAGCATTTTGAAATCGTTAGAAGAGTAAGTCAAATATGGGCAATTTCAAATGTCTGTGGTTGGATAGTGTTGATACAAAATGCAACTAGTCTTTGGAAATATGACTTTTGCTTTTAAGAGCATTCTGAAGTCATTGAAAGAGTAGTTAAAAAATGAAAATTCACAGGGCTTTTACTTGGAAATCCAAAATAAGATGGCCTTGATATTGACAGGGCGCTATTGGGGTACAATGTTGAGTCATGTAGATCTAACATTAAAGTTTGTAAACAAGCCTAAATTATGTTATTATGTTCTTAACATATTTGTTAATTCACTCGAAGTTGGCTTTTATTTTGAAATCCGGTTTCCACATCCATTCCCGTAATACTTTGAATACACAGGGAACAGAAAACAAACTGGAGGCTGGCTTGACTGCAAGTAGTTAACGAAAGATTTCTCGACACACCCTCCGAAGCTTCAGCACAGTGTCCCCCATCACTATTTTTACGTGTGTGCTTCGTATTTTTGAGTGGAGTGGAGAACCCAGATGTCAACAAAAATCGATCCACGCATTTGTAAATCTTAGTTCACCTTTTTGGATCATATCATGCGCATTCGTAGCCCTTTTTTACGCAAATTTCCCTCCATACTCGTTGGCACCTCCTACATTAAGTAGGAGTTCATGAGAAATGAAACCTAAGTTAAACCATTATAAAACAGCTGCAGTCACGCTGGTCTGACCCCACCCCTTCAGTGTGAATCAGAGAGTCAACAGAGACTCTTTGTAAAGTCCGTTAGAGACACGAGCAAAATTCGAGGACTTGAAAGACTTGAACTTGAACAAGGAATCATTTTTAACTTATCTAAACGGGACATCCTGCTTTAAAAAA